ACCTTGTCAATATTGTTAATTTGAGTTTCTAATTAGTATGAAAATATAGACTTATTATTTTGACATCACAAACATCTAATTTGAACCAGTGCTGCATTCAGCATACCACATGACACACAAAAATCAATGTTTAACTGTGTTGTTTTAATATTTACTTTTAAATTAAGAAATTGAATAATGTATAATTCTAAGATATTAATTATAATATACAGTTTGATATCAAACTTATTGACATAAATTCATGAAATTGTAGTTCAGTAAAATTTTGAATGCAAGTCAACAAACTCGATGACATGGCCTTTGACCCATGACCCATCTGGAAAGGTTAATTAAGATTTTTTTACATTTTAGATACATTTCTATAATAATATCTTTGACATTATACAAAATTTCTATATCTTAATTTATCAATTGATAAATAATTATTTTCTCAAGTACTGTTAACTTGTCCAAAAAGGATACTGTTATAGAGATCCAAAATGATTCTCTTAGAACCTTCCCTCTAATTGCTCAGTTGTAAGCTTAATGGCCTAAAATGCTAAAACTTCGATTTTGATCCATGTAGTAGACATTTTGCAGCTGGACCATTGTGTGTAGCTTTATACCTATGAAACAGACACTAACAAAAACATTTAGAACCCATATTGATATTCTGAATTTTTAAACAGTTGACACACAGAAGTAGAATTATGAATATTTGAATACCAAGTTTGAAAAATGTATGAAGTTTTGATCTAGATTATTGTTTTCTTTCCATTCTTCCTTATAAAATAATTAAATTAATTTGATACAAACTTTCCTTAGGAATTTCTATATTAATTTTAAATTGAAATATTTTTTTTCAGGATAAACTAAAACTTTAGTGTAAGGTTTATAAAGTGTTGTTGACTTGCTATTAAAATATATGTACTTTCATATTTATCCACAAGCTGGAATTTCTAAACATTTAAAATAATTTCAAAATATTAGGTACTAAACACCTTTTTCTCCCCGTCATTTGCTAGGTAAAATTCAAGTTGAATTTAGAGGATCAGAAGGCATGATAGAAATTCAAGTTGAACAAATTAATAACCATCGTTACAGACTCTGTTTTACTCCACCCAATGCAGGTATGTTTAATTAGTGTACATCATCATTAGCTGTTTCACTCCACTTCATACAGGTTTTTTGATAGAATTACAATACTTCAGGTTGTGTTTCACTGCATCTGATAGAAGTACTTCACTACAGACTAAATTTACATCACCTGATAATGATATGTTGTACATCACTGGAGCATTGTATCAATTGCCTAATACAGGTATGGTCAGGAAAGTTTGTATTTTACTACATGTGGTACAAATATAGCTGTGTTTAAGTCTACCTCATGCAGCTATAATTGCAGACAATTACAGGTTCTATTTAACTATACCTGATACAGGTATTTATTAATAAAGTATTTCATAACAGTTTGTTTTATTCCACACACTACATATGTTTTTAATAGAAACATTTGTTAATTTCAGGATGTGTTTGATTCCATTTGATGTAGATGTTTTAAAGAAAGTACACCACCTCAGGTTATGTTTACTAAGAGGTGTTGCAAAATAAATCCCAAATAAGATTTTAATTCAATAAAAAAGTAATTCCAAGTATCAATATCACTTGATTGGGCCACCATTGTTCTCACGCACGAGTTTTAATTGATTTGCAAAATGTTTCAGCAATGCAACAAACGTGTCTGTTTTCGTGGCTGTCTCTGTGAGCACATCAGAGAGAACATGACTCAAGGTTTTACATTTGTGTCTCTCGCAATCAGGCAAAGTTTCCAACATTTCTTCTGTGCATTGTTGAAAGCTCCGACATTTTTAGCAGGATTTAAATCTGGAGAGTTCCCAATCCACATTTCACCACTTTTTCATGAACCACTCTTTCAAATTCAACAATTCTGAAACTTTTGAGGCGATGTGTTGATTGGAAGACTTAAATTCTTGGAGCATGTCTGCGACTAGTTTCTGAGCCATCCTGAAGGCAGCACATGCAACACGAACCTGAGTTCTAGTGAGCATCATGATTCCAAAGTTTTCGCAAAAGTCAAACACCCAAGAGTACGTTGAAATGACAATTTCTCATGAGTGATGATATTCGCAGTCCTACCAAGTTCGTCATTACTTTGGGGGAAAAAAGTGTGATTTATTTTGCAACACCCCTTATCATATGATACAAGTACATGTAGTAGATGTAGTGGTACATTTCTTATGAAGTCCCAGATACTAACTAGAATCACAGATTGCTACAGATTCTGTTTAACCATAGAGAAGCTAATAATATGTTACTTAAAGTACACTTTTATAATTTTACTGGCATTAAGTAAAAAAGTATCAGGATTTCCTGTATAATGATTAATAGTTAAGATCAGTATTTTTTTGTTTTATATCAAAGTTGTAAGGCTTTTAGAAACACTTGCTTTTAGATAGTTGGTTAAGTTTCATATATAATGTATAAATGTGATCATTTATAAATATTTATAGAACAGTTGTTAGGTATTAATGCTACATATATTATTTTGGGCCTAATTTGTATCGGAAGTGGTGGTTTTAGGTAGTTGCAACCACACAGGACCCCACTCTTTTCCATGGTAGCTTTGATCTTACATTGCCCAAGTCTTATTTTAAAAAGTTTCATATAAATGTAATATACAGGCCCCTACATGATTATACATTTTAAAGGTTAATGCACACATAATTTTGCACTGGATCCCATGCATTCCTAAAGCTGCCATTGTGCAACAGCTACTCAAAGGTGACTGGACCTTGTGAGATATTGTTAGAATCAGTGCTAAATCATTTTGTTGCATGCCCAATTGATGATTTAATATGATCTAATCATTGTAACCCCCCCCCCCCTCCCATGATGGCTCACAGTGAGTCTGAGGGCTTAGAATGATAAAAATCTGGTTTTGATTCCAGCAGCGGGTAGAGCACAGATAGCCCATTATGTGTAGCTTTGTGCTTAACAACAAAGAAAGAAACATTGTAAATATATTTTATTTACATTTTGACTTTACATATCACATCTTGTATATTTTTCATCATAATTTATTTAACTTTTAATGACAAGTTTTCTAAAATGGAAATATCTTGGCTCATATATATCAAAAGGTTTATATCTGTTAATAAGACTTCAAATACTGTAAAGCTTAACTTGATGTTAAAGTAAGCTAAGTGTAGGAAATTACATTGTGCATATAAATAACTCCCTTTTTCTGCAGGTGAATACTATCTTTATATATACTATGCTGATATTCCTCTACCAAAGTCGCCATATCTTGCCTATGCAGAACCAGGTGAACCAGCTCTTGATCATACAAGAGTTGTTTTGCGTGGTCATGGATTAACTTCTGCTAAAGTTGGGGAAGAAGCAGAGTTCCTTATTGATGGATCAGAAGCAGGGCCTGGTAAATGGTTTTGTCTTTTCTTAGACTTTATACTTCTCATTTCTTCATAAATTATCTAAATTTGTTGGATATATATATAGAAAACAAGTATAATTCTTTACAACATTAACATCATATTTTAAGATCTCTAGAGATCAGCATAATAGGATTGTTTTTCCTATGAATTTGATGTTTTTGTTTATGTAATATTTCAGGATGTATAAATGTCAGTTTGTTATGGTTTGTGGAAGAATTTGACATTTTAGGTTCAGTTGGTATTTAGGAATATCATAGGGCAGTGTATTTTAACAGTTTGTAATGAAAATCATGTTTTATGTTAAGGTCATATTTCAGGAACCCCAAAGGCTAGGTTTTATGGAATTTTTATATATTATATGTTTATGCCAGCTTCAGTTATCCCCCAGATGTTCACTTGTGAAATTAATTAATATATTACTAGGGTTTTCAAGATATTGTTTCTTTTACTAAATTCATATTTTATTAATATATTTACATCATCTAGGGTCACCAGAAGTTAGTGTAAGTGGAGTAAAAGCTGATATTCCTGTGAATTTAATACCCCAGGGAAACAATGTTTACAAGGCAGTATATACTCCTGCAGTTCCAGGTAGATTGATGATTAATTAATGTATAGTCTTTTCTATTACATAAATCTACTAAAAGAATAATTAATAATTTATTGAATTAAAGAAATAATCAATACTGTATTATTGCTTTAAAATGCAATTACATTAAAAGGTTTTTATTATTAAAACTGATGTTTTTACTTATAGTGAAATCATTAGGGAAGGCAAAGTTAGCAGATATATTAAACGTTTTTATATTGTAGAACATGAAATAGATGCTTAGTTGTACCTATGTGTGTAGCTATGTGTGTTATGCTTATTTTTATTCTATTTAATTATCAGTACAGCTGCTGATAAATAATCACTATTCATAATATTTATTATAGCTGTAGAAAGCATTTGAAATCTATTCAAAAGCTTTAAAAGTTTAGTTGTAGGACTTTAGAATTATAAGACTAAAATGCTTTCATTAAAATATTTGACAATTTTTTTAATCATATATTAACTTTGATTTTTACTAGAAGATTTTTGGTTTGATTTGTTATTGGAATAATTTGATAGAAATAAGGCTTCAAAATGTACATCAAATTATATTTGATACAAAATAGTTTTCAGATTCACCACAAATATTGTTTTAAACTATTTGAACAGGAGCTTACCTTCTGAATGTGATGTGGTCAGAAAGGCAAGTGAAAGGCTGTCCATTAAAAGTAGCCGTATCTCTAAGTTGTGACCCTAACAAAGTGGCCTGTTCTGGAGATGGATTGCGAGGTGGCACAGTAGGCAAAGAGATCAAAGCTTTCATTGATACTCGAAAAGCTGGACCAGGTAAATTTGTTTCATTGTTCTATTTTTAAAATATTTTGATAAGGAAAATATATGAAGTACAAAAGAAATGGAATATTTTTCAATGCTATTTTTATGGATATATAGAACAAAGTTTTTTGTTTTTTTTTCTATTTCAAGGCGTTTCATCAGGGTAACCTGGAATTATAATTTTAAATATAATATTTGTAAGAAAATCTTTGTAATTAGAATTAACACATAAGAGGGAGAGTAAGTAAATATATTTAAAGAAACTTGATAATCTTATCATTTTGGAAGGTAAATCTTCATAATTACAAGATGGATTGTGAATTCTCAACTAACCAAAAAGAAGGAAGGGCTATGTACCAAAAATGATCAGCTTATTTGGTTTGATTAATTCTTTTCTCCATTACTATTTTATTTGCATTTTACATGTAAACTTAAAGTTGTGTTATAACTTAAAACTGTTAATTTAATTCACGTCAATGTATAGGGTAGTTTCCCAAATTATTTTTATAACATAGAATTATATCACTGAACGTTTTTTTATTGAATAAATTAGTATAAAGTTTTAACTTATACGCACCATTTTTCACAAAGTAATTAAAGATAATAATTTAATATAACCCCTTTTGTTTAAATATTCACCATGAATATTACCATTTCAAAGGTTTAATATTTATTTTTATCTGAAATTTCAGGGGAATTAACAGCACATTGCATGGGACCACATAAAGTAGCTTATTGTGAGATGTATGATCACAGAGATGGAACATTTACTCTTTATCTCAAGCCACAAGAAGGTGGACGGCACATGTTAACTGTCAAGTATGGGGGAGAACATGTACCTGGTAATACTTTACTCTAAAATTGTTGTTGTGGTGCATGGTATAGCATTAGATTGTTGTGCAGTAGTTTTCTTTCTTGATTTCAACTTTACTCTATAAGAAATTTGTATCTGTTTTACACTTTCAAAATTTATCATTTGTAAGTGTTCAATAAATAGATAATTAGAAAAAACGTGATTTTGTACTTTGTGTGAAACAATTCATTAAATTACAGAGTGTAAATACTTCCACATTTTTCATTGCTTCTAATGTTGTGTATTTATTCACCAGCATTTTTGCTAAATGTAGATTTGATATCCCGACATTGTAATAATCCTAAATTTATTCTGATCAGCTAAAATCCAATTTCAGTTACATAGGTTCCTTTTAAATTCTCAGTTTTAATTCAGAAAAGCTGTTAGCAATATTTGTGAGATTTTATTACACAAGGAAATTTGTTTCTTGTAGGGAGTCCATTCTCTGTAAGAATTGCTGGGCCACCTGATGCTTCTAAAGTGAGAGTGTATGGACCAGGAGTAGAACCTGGTGTGTTGGCCATATACCAGAGTAGGTTCATATGTGATACAAGAGGGGCTGGAGCTGGCCAATTAACAGTTAGGATAAGAGGACCTAAAGGTGAGTCCTTTTTATGTACTTTAATTGTAAATTTAGAATATACTTAATGATGTTTTAAGTGTATAGGGCTTAAAGATTATTATCTATGGGTTGAACATTTTTTTAATGATTTTAAATAGTTTGTGAAAGTTTTCCTACACTTTGATACACTACTGAATGTTTAAAATATAGTTTGATGTGGTTACTTTTTAGTAAAACTTTTATTCAAGTATTAGTTTTATTTTTTAACTGAATATTTTGTCTCTTAATGTCACTTTTCCTTAACTGAATGTTCCATTATCACTGGATCTCCAATTTCTCAAGTTATCTGCTTTTCATATTTACTGTATAAATACATATTTTTGACATTAATTGGTCTTTCAAATAAGTTTTAACACATTCCTATAATTCTAATATAATGCATTAAAATCTTATGTTGATGCCCGTGATTGTGTTATAGAATATTTATGTTAATGTTTTTGCTCTTCCTAAAACATTAGGAAGAAAAAAATATTTGTAGTATTTCAGTGTGTATGAAGCATTAAAAATACTCGTTTTCGTTTAATAAATATATGTTTAATATTAAAATGTGACATCATAGGAGCATTCAGAGTGGAGATGCGAAGAGAGAGTCAGAAAGACAGAACAATTCTCTGTAAGTATGACCCCACTGAGCCTGGAGATTACCGGCTGGAAGTCAAATGGTCGGGAGAGCATGTCCCAGGATCTCCTTTTGTAGTAATGATTTTTGATACTCAAGAGGAACTAACACGTTATCTGCAAGGCCATCATAGTCCTGTTCCTCTGACTTCAGCAGACTATTTTGGTGGAAGTAAGACATATAGCACTGGATTTGGGCAGATGTCATGGCGAGGATCCATGGCTGAATTATAAGCTAAACATATCTGGCCAGTTTATCATAACTAAGTAAATCTTTCTTGCTGTGTGCAGCATAACACCTGCCAATAACATATTATTTATTGTAATTATAAATAATACAGTCTTTTACTTTGGATTGATAAAAAACAAAAAACTTTAGTTTCCCTAGCTAATTTGGCTAGTATATTTCCATATTCTGTAGTCAGTCTTCAAATGTTCAGTATTAAAACAGGTTTCTAGCATATAGCAACCTTTAGTTGAAAGACTTAGATGTAAAATAAGATGATTGTTACTTTGTAGTATTTTATATGTAAACTAAATTCTTGACAGTTTTCATTGCCTGTTCCTTAGGGTTATGAACATACATTGTGCATAATTGAAAAATTGTTAGCCAGAGCTGCTGATAATTTTAATCACGCACCATTTATTACGAATATTGGCTAGCTTTTGTATTGTTGGTATATGTATTTTTCAAAAGTGTTTAACATCAATTAGAACTAAGAAAATCAGGGGCATTTTTATAAGCCAACAGAAGTGTAGCTCTACATTATAGATTTATAGTTAATAAAAATAATTTGAACTTTGTATCCAAGTAGTGTATGAAATGCAGCTAATTTTCAAACATACAATTTGTAAGAAATTTTTCATTTACGTTTTGTTTTCCAAATGAAAAATTTTAACATTTTTAATTGAATAACACTTGTATTACTAAGAATTATGTAAAATTAATTAATTGTATTTTGTATGGCAGGGTTAAAGTATTTTTTTTTGTAAATTTATTTAAGAAATACTTTTTTTACCATTAATTTCATTCAGGTGTGTTTTTGTAAAGTTTTTTAATGTTAATGTCATTATTCTCTGTATGTTCTGAACCTTGGAATGCTCAGTATACATTTCTATCATATGTAAATTTTTTGCATATCATTTATAAAATCACATTATCTTCTCAGCATTTTTTTTTCTCATTCATTTTGAACATATCTTGCTTGTAACTAAAATTTGATTGTTTAGTAAAAAGTGAGGTACTTCTAAACCAATAAACGAGTGGTCTCCAAGTTTTTGGTATATTTCCAAAAGACTGAAATGGTTATTAACTAGATGCTGGAGGTCATTTTTTTTATTGTAAAATGGCTAATTAAGATCTCCATTTAGAAGGCAGACACAATTCAGACTTTGCTTTGAACCCCTAACTTCAGATTTTTTTTTAAATGTTGAATTAAAGCTTTGTGGTGTAACTGCTTTGTTATATCCACAAATGCTATCAAGTTTGTTTTTTTTTATAACTGAAAGCCAAGACCGAAAAACACTATTTTTAGCAATGGTGGGTGTATTTCATGCAGTAAACTATATAAATAGGAAAATACGAAATTTGGAAAATTGTGTCTGTGGATGGGTATCTTAAAAGTGTACAGCTCCTAATGTCACACTTTTTTGTCAGATTTATCTAATTCTTTTGTACAATGTTTTATTGGGTTTCAGCTTTCTTGAGCTTTTGAAAAGGCCATGCTAAATATAATTCTCACATTATGGTATATTGGGATTGGTTAAGGATGCAAATGTTTTTTGTTTCAACCAGCATTAATTTATATATAAATTTTATATTTCTTTATAAATAATTGTATTCCTTTTTGTCAAACAACTTAAAAACCTGTTTTATGGGAAGCAAATTTTGTAACTAATGGTTTTAATTTTTTTTATGAAAATGAATTTAATAAAGGAAGTATTTTATAAATATAAGTTTTCTGTCAAACCTTGTACAAATATCAAACCATCTCTCAACAAACTCAGTAGATAATTATTGTCTGGCTGACATTAGGCAAGTTGTTTTGTTACTGTGAGCTACTCTACAACTAAACCTATAAAAGAAATCACCAGTATTTTCTGATATGACCATGTTATTTTTATTTGAATTCTATGAAGTAATTCTCTAACAATAAAACTGTTTAAAACTTTTAATTACAACATCTCTAATTCAGAACTTCCTTTTAGTGCAAGTTTTAGTACTTTATTTTGTTGATACAGTTTTATTTTTGCAATAGAAAGTAACACAATTATTGCTTTTAGATGAATAAACAGATGCTACATGACATGCTTTCTGGGACACAACAGGATATGTTGTTATTGTCGTACTAAAATATGTTTCTTGTTCTTGTGACAACACTGGCAACTGGTCCCTAAAATATCTAATATATAGGAATGTAATTAGGTTATTACATTGTTGCATAAAAACTATCTTTATAAAACCAAACATAATGATCACCTGATTATAAAACTTTATACTATATTTTAAAAATGTAGCAACGAAAAGTATAACCCATATATTTCAAAAAAGTTGTAATAAAAACACAACTAAGTTTTTCATTATTATCTAATAGTAATAAGTTTTTTTATTTTTACCTACAACTCACTTTAGAAACAGAATAATAAAACGCAAGTGCCATTGTGGGGGTGGAATGCTAGTTTCTGAATTTAAAAAATCAGTACACTTAAGCAAAAGGTATTAAAGATACTGCTTATGTGGGTATATAAATAAATATATACTTCATTTCTTGTAAAACTTCCCTCTTTTACAAGATAATGTACCTGGCTTGTCTGGAGTAAGTTCACGTAATATTTGAAATGAACAATCTTGGAAGAATTTATATTAAGAGTGAGTATAATCACGTACAATTCGAAAAATTGTTACATCATTTCTACATAAAAAGCATTGTTTGATTCACTAGAGAATATTGGTATACAGTTTAACAATAGCAGATTTTTTTGATAGGATATAGATGACATTAAAAATATTCCATATTAAGAGCTGTCTTAAAATATTAGCATTTAGAATACATTCAGCCTTTCTACTTTGGGTTTTTGTAGTAAAACATATACATCATATTACACTAGTTTACTAACCAAAGAAAAATTATACCAATTCTATTGCACGGTTACCTTTTATGATTTTTAAAGTTCATACATACATACATGTTTATAGTTTTCCATAAAACATACTCTTTTAAGTCAGGTGAAACAACAATCAACCACTCAACAGAAACCTTTCTAATAAACACTGATGTTTATACCTGGAAGACGAGGACTTGTTTATAGAACTGAGCATCAGTACACCCAGCTCACAGGTACCCATTGACTTGTTTTGTTAATTTGTTTCAGTTGTTGTTCCAGTGTATCGATTGTCTCCTCAATGTTATTGTTGGTGATAGTAAAATCAAAAAGATGGCCATAGGTTTGTTGAAGAATTTCACTCTCTTTGGCCAGTCGCTCCAGGCTGCCATCAGTCTGCAGAAGTAGACAATAAAATTAAAACTTCTCATATATTTTTTAATTTAAAAAAATCACACTTGAATTAAAGTAAACTATCAAAACTTTCAGATATCTAAAGCTTTAATCAGAAGACTTGTTAATTTTAAAATGTTCCAAATATAAAAGGATGTGCTCTACTTTAAAAATCTTATCAGATATGTCCTGTCAGAATGATGTTTTTATTTCTTCAAATAGTTTGTATATTAAAGCAGTAAACAAAGACAAAAGAATAAAGTAAAAAGCTAAAATAAAGATATTGTGATCTCTTAAAACCCCATACTTGATTACTCCTGAGCACTAATATTTTAGTACTTATAATCTAGTTTTTGTTTAGTGGTAAGAATGCAAAAATCACACTATAAAAGAAAATGAGTCTTAACAATCATGCGAATAATGTTTAGAACTTGTGGTAATTTATAATTTTTGCCTTTCATTTTCTGACTAATTGAATTTTATGTGAGAGTTAAAGATCAACTAAATGACTAAATAAAGTTCTCTCACCAGAGATACGCTGTCACTTTTAAACATTACTGGAAATTTCTTATAACTTGCCTAAAATGTCTTATCATGGTTAATATTTTAGTACAAAATGGAACACCTACTATAGAATGTATTGAAAAAATGACTTACTGACAAACTTTTTATGCCAGATAAAGATGGGGCTCCGATGAAAACTATGTATGGGGTATATTCTGCTGTTCGGAGGATTTTTATAGCCTGAAATAATTGTTAATAGAAGAAAAAGTATCTAATTACAAGTAATAAATCTTACAAAGCATATAAAAGACATTAATTTTTGTTTCCTTTAGTTGAAGTAATAGAGGAGAATTTGGGGAAAGATAAGCAAAAACTTGGGTTAATTAGGCAATGAAAAGTTTCACTGTTCATGAAATTAAAAGAAAAACAATTGCAAACAGAGAGTAGTGAGGATCTCATCAGTTTATGTTAGAAATTGTAGGTTTTAGAAATGTGACATTTGGTAAGTTATCCTTCCGTTTTAAAGTTAATATCTCCTGGGTTAGAAATAAAGGTCTAGTAGTAGTATATACCGTACAAATGTTATGATTGACTAGTTATTTTACTAGTATATATATATATATATATATATATGTATGTATGTGTGTGTGTGTGTATTAACATTCTACACTTGAGCATGTATTGCATAAAACACAGCTCCGGAATAGGATAATATTGTTACGTCTGCGTTTGTTAATTGATTTTCCGTAACTTCGTTCCGACGAAACTTTAGCGACACAAGTCCTTACTTAATAAAATTGGTTTATTCTTTCTGAATATAACTTTACGATACACTTAAT